TACAGGGCACATCATCAGCTTCACATTCAACCATTCATATAGCTTGTTTCATTACATTCGTGTTAGTCGTCTTTTGAACTTTTGAAATTTATAAATGCCCATTCCTAGCTTTTGGAGTTGGCCTGTGGGCTCGGTTTGCCAACCCCTTGTCTAAGCGTTTGTTACGTCAGCGGAGTGATTGCCCTGGGCTCTTAGCTGGCTCTTTGCTTCCACCCTCATTCACAGTCCAGAGGGAGTCTCTAACAACCCGAGTTGACTCACAGCCTCCTCTGTTCAGTACTTCAGTATGGCTCCCACGTTATTCAGAATAGAAGCTAATGTACTCCCAGCAGTTACAGGACCTTGCCTGATCCCTCCTTCCCTTCCCCCTTACAGCCTCCTTACCAAGCATGTCCCCTCCCCAGGGCCTCTACACGGAGGGGGTTGTGCCTAGAACGCTCTCCCCAGCCACCTGAGCATCTCTTTCCTTCATTCTCCTGTTGTTATGTTGTTATAAAATACCTTTCAGTCAGTTCGGACCCACAGCCACCTTGTATAGAGTTTCCAAGGAGCTTGAACCATTGACCTTGCGGTTCAGACTGACCTTGCAGTCCATTAACTCACCACGCCACACCAGGATGCCTCACTTCCTGGACCACTTGATCTATAAATTGTACACCCTTCACTGGTCCTTGTACATCCTTCCTGTCCTCTTTCCTGCTCTGGTTTCTCTGTGGCACATGTCATTTGCTGACATACTAGGTAATTTATCATCTTATCTCGGGCCCTGGGTCCGCCATTGTCATCTTGCCATGGGCAGGGACTTCTGAGCCCTTATCGGTGCTGTCCTTAAGTAGCAAATGAATAAGCCACACAAGGGGACTCCTGGTAGTAGATGAGGTCATTCCTGTCAGGGTGCCTGCTGTGTGCTAAGCCCCATGGACCCAGGCTGAGCTCAAGGTTGGGACTAACCTGCTTCCAGGACTCAGGCCCGTGGACCGGTTGGGGCAGTGGCAGGATGCGATCCTCTTGTTCCTTCAGACAGCTTCCATCTTCCAGCCTTCCTGCTTAGACAAGGGAGAGAAGCCCAAGCATGGTCATCAGCCGGGCCCTCTGCGAGGGTGCAGGGCTGTGGGGCTTGGGGATGGGAAAGCAAGTTTTGGGGGTAGCTCTTACAGAGTGGGCCCAGATTTGGGTGCTTCCCCCTTCCTCCCAGCCTCAAATATTCTGTTCTAAGGGTGGTGGTTTGTGCTCTTGGGGCCTCAGCCTTCTTGTCTGTAAAATGGGCTAACTGACATGTAACGGTCTGCTGAGTGTTGCTGGAGCCGGTGGAGGTGGAGGCCGAACACTGAGGACACTCCCTCAAGGGCTGTGATTGTTGGGGTGTTTAGGGGCAGGGAGGAGCTCTTGGGGATGAATCTGACTTCTCAGGGGGGCTGAGAACCAGTGGCTAGGATATGAGGCCCCTTGGATGAGAGGCCAGGGCTTGGGAGACTGGGCAGGTTGGTCAATGCGTGGTCACCTCTAGTTGCCAGGCCCAGTGCCAGCATCTAGATGTGAAGAAGAACGTGAAGGAAGTGACCACCTGTTACTAGGTCACCTGCTGGCCCCTCTGTGGTATATGTGACAGGCCTTTCCCCTGGTCTGGGTCAGGGGAGACAGAAGTCTGGGGGGCATTCCCTACAGGGAACAGAACAGGTTTCAGAAGATGGGGTGCCTGCTGAGATGAGCCCCTGGAGTTGGAGTGTTAGCGGGGGTGGGGCTGTCTTCCAGGTCATTGGACCCTGTGGTGTGCGTGCATGTTTCTGCTTTAAAGCAGTCATCCCATCTCTTCAAAGTGGAGACGGTGTTGCATTGTGGTTGTGATCCTGGCTTTGGGTCCAAGCTTTGGGTCGGCACCGGCTCAGACACTTCCGGGTTACATGCCTGTGCCCAGGTTGCCCCAGCCCAGGTTTTCTGAGCTGCCTGATGGGCGAGGATTCTGTGGGCTGTGCAGGTGAAGGTCGTAAGGTTAGCATAAGTGTTACTCTTAGTTCCGCTGGTCTCGGGGGAACACCTCTTTTTTCAAAAGTGCACCCTGACATATCCTGCTGAGCTGCTCTGGGTGTGTCAACACCCCTTAAAGGCAGCCCCTCTTGGCTAGTGGGTTATGGGGAGTGAAGGGTAGTCCTGGGCCAGAGACTTGGATTCCCGGCCCCTCTGGCTTTTGTCCAGTGTTCCCTCATGTTGGGCCTTCTGGGATCATAGCTCCCAGCCAGGATGTACACAGCACTTGATGAGTGTCCCCCAAGGCTGGATTGCAGCTGTACTGTGCACAGGGCACCACCAGGCATGAATGGCAGGGCCACCCACTTCTGGTCTCGGTCCCACTGCCTCAGAACACCTTGTCTGGTGAGTGGGGATGCCGACAGGAACAGACTGGTGTGGGTGTGCACCGTGTTCCTGGGCCTCCTCAACCTGGTAACATCCTGCTCCCAACGAGGCATCTGTGGGAGGGGGCCTCATGGAGAAACCAGGTCAGAGTGGAGCCGCCGGCGCTGGGAAGGAGGGATAGCTGGCTGAGCAGGTGTGGCCTGTGCTGGCTTTCTGGCAGCTGAACCCAAGGTCTTTTCAGCTGTCCTGGCACTGGCAGTGCGACTGGGTATTTCTGGACAGTGGAAGATGGCTAAAGTCTGAGTCCAGGCAAGTCTCCCTGAGCGATGCCATGTCTGAGGAGAGCGGCACTGCCCACAGCTGCCTGGGGGCTGCCGGAAAGATTTCTGCTGCATTCTGAGTTCTCATTTGCACTCACAGCCAGGTTCTAGGGGATCCCAGGGGGCTTCTGTCAGAGCCCAGGAGAAGCTGTGTGCTCATGGCTGATGCAGGCACCCACTGGGTGGTGCCGGCTGGTGCCAGGTGGCCGCCATGCACAAGCAGCTTGTCCCTGGTGTCTGAGCCAGCCTGCCAGGCAAGGTCAGCCACACAGTGCCAGTTCTGCATGGCACCTCAGTGGGAGGGAGAGACCTTGCCTTGCTGGGGCTTAAGCGTTAATGCTAGCTGACCAGGGCGCACGCCTCATCTGTCAGCACTGCTGGCTTCCTGCTCTGTGACGTGGCCTCTGGAGGGCTGTGGGGAAAGAGGACGTCTGGGTAGTTCTGGCCTGAGAGCAGGATGTGCACAGTGATTGTGGGATTTACCATGGGATTTACCATGGGCAGCTCACATTTTAGGACACACGCAGGTTCCAGGTGCATACAAGAGGTAATTGAGGGTGATCTAGAATCCAAGCTGTGTGTTGTCCCCCCAGAGGCTGCTGGGCCTCCTGACATGAACTCTGCAGTGGGGCCTTGTTTACAGATGGTCAGGGGACCTAGGAAGCATCAGACCAGGCTCCAGAGGTGCCCTTCCCCAGGTTGCTGGCCAGGGGTACCTGGACTCCGTGTGCACTGCCACTCCACCAGGTGTCAGGTGGGAGTTGCTATCTCAGTTCTTCCAAATGGAGTGTGTGGGATCACCTCCTCCCCCCCCCCCCCCCCACAGGGGCTCTGTGCCTCCCTCCTGAACTCATACTCCACCCCCTTTCCCACATACACACCACCTGCAGGGTCACAAGTCTGTCCACAGTTCACTCCTCATCCTTCTACAGTCCCCACCTGGTCCAGCGTCATCATTGCCCCCCTGGACTCCCCTCACATGCTATTCTGCCTGCAGCCTCCAGGGGGCACCTGTGAGTGCCTGCATCAGGGCAGATTGCCTGTCACCTCACAGCCCTCTGGGGACCCCCACCTCAGCTGGGATCGAAGCCCAAGACCTCGCTCAGGCTCCCGGCCTCGGCCTGAAGGCAGCTTTCCCCAGACATCCACACAGCATCTTCCTTCCAGTCTTTGCCGGATCTCTCTCTCTCAGGGAGTCCTCCCCTGACCACTTTATTTAAAATGGCCACCCCTACTCCTGACCCCCCATTCTAGTTCCTTCACAGCACACAGAACAATGACACCATTGTCGGTCACACACACAGGTCCTGTCAAGGTAGGGCTTGGATTGGTTCAGTGATATTCCCACCCTGCCCCTCAGTCTTCTCCTCCATTGCCTATGAGATGGGGCCTTTCTAGGGAGGCAGGTGGCTGCCCACCAGGCCCCCTTTCAGCCACCCAGGGAGGCTTTGGCCACAAGGGGGCAGTGGAGGGCACCACTGCATCAGCCACCAGCAGGCCAGGAGAGTGGACATGGTCCTCTAGTCAGTGACCTGTGGTAGTGATAGTCAGGAGAGGTGGTCTGACCACATGAATTGCCTGGTCCCTTGGGCTGCCGGGCAGCAGAGCCATAAGACTCTTAACAGCCCTGAGCTGCTCCTGTGAGCTGGCCTGGGTGGGCATCGTTTTACCAGCTCTGACCCTGTGGCTAGGTCAGAGTGTGAGTGCCCAGCCAGTGCCCCACCTGCCCACTACTGCTAGTTCTTGTCTAGTAATAAGTTGTTCTTGTCAGTGTTGGGGATACTCGTACACTACATCCACTCCCCACTTATCTACATGGTTAGGGTCCAAAGAACAGGTCATTATGTGAGAAGCAGCATTATGCAAAAATGGAGGAGGACCACAAAATCAAGGAGTTATTACATAACTTCCAAATTACTTCATTACTGTTGCCAAACTATTGAGAATTATGGTCCAGCCAAAGTTGTTGACAGTCACAGCCACATCGCCGTCATCTTGCACCTTGGTATTTGTTACTGCCAGACATACGTCATTAACGCACAGAAGAGTCCGCTGGTAGATTTGTTGCTCTTATTGTAAATGCTAAATGTTGGCTAGTGAGCAGAGGAGTAGGCACACTTGGTTTTGTGACCGTCATCTCAGTTCTTAACAGTAATACTGTTGAGTAGGCGAGAGGTTGGCAGGCCCAGAGAGGTTGGGTAACTAAACTTGTCCAGGGCCGCACAGCCAGGAAGTAGGTGAGTCTCTTTGACCACAGAGACTGGGAAGTCTGAGCACAGTTCAGGAGCTGAGCTTGCCACTGGCCCTCATACCCTCACCCTCCTCTAGGGTGCTGCCTTGGGGGGCCCAACGGTGTTAGCCCCTCAGTACCAAGAGAGCCCTCTACGTTGGGTTGCCAGTGAAGGAGACCCCAGCTCCCATGGAGCTCTCCGTCAGCCTGTGGCCTGGTGAGTGGTGTCCAGGATCCAGGACAGGAACGTCTGGCACCAGTGTGCTGGGTGGGCATGTCTTCACCCTGGCAGTGGCCCCAGCCCAGGTCATACAGGCTGGGACAGGTGCTGGCAGAGCTACCGATATGGTGTGAGGAGTGGGAGTCCAGGGTGCCCCCGACCCCCAGCTGTTCCCATAGTACTTGTCCACACCTGCCCTGTTCAGGCAATGGGAGAATGGCCCACAGGAGTGAACTCTCTCGAGGGTGCTCTTTGGAGTGGATGACTGGGAAGACCTTTCAGAGAAGACTTCTGAGGCCTGAGGGGGCCAGGGGAGCGTGAGGTTTCTGGGGGGCAGTCCAGGCAAAGGGCACAGCCCACAGAGACCTAGACCATCTGGGGAGCTCTGCCAGGGACAGCTGGGACCGTGGGACCTCTGCCCCATCAGAGACCTGCAGGGATGGGAGCCTGGGGGCCTGCCCGTAGGTGGGGTGCCACAGCATGACTTTGAGCCCTTCCTGCTGTGTGGGCTTTGGGCACCACTGCCTGCCCTCTGACCGTGCCCTAACCTCGGCCTACCACGAGTTGCTTTTGGCCAGGTCCCGGAATCTCGGGCCTCGGGGTGAGAATTCCTTTCCAGCTAGTAGAACTGTCATCAAAGGCCACCCTCCTGCCTGCACCCCAGCCTCGGGTGCCCATGTGTCCTTGTCTTCTGCTTGTCCATTATGCCCCTCTGAGCCCCTGGTCCACCCTCCGTACCAACAGTAGCACCTGGACCCTGGCAGATGACCTCCCACCAGACCTCACTTGGCCCCCTGCCCCTTCCTCCCCCCACTCTATGGGGACAGGAAGGGCTATGGGGGTAACCCCAGGAGGGCTCAACATTTCTTCCTGTCCAGGGTCAGATGGCTGCCCTGCCACTGGTGCCCTCTGACCCTGGGCCCCTAACCACCCCACCTCAGATGGAGAAGAGCACACAAGCGGTTCCCCACATGAGGCTCAGTCTCCTGGGGCTTCAGTCTCCTGTGGCCCAGGCCCTTTTTGTCTTACCTCTATTTGGAAATATAGATGACTAGGAAGTCACCAAGAAAGTAGAGAGCGGTCCTGTGGACCCCCAGGCCTTACATCTTTGGGAGAAGAGGCTTGCTGGGCCTGGGCTTCGGCCACCAGACATGGAGAGGAACAGACTGGGTCTCTGGGTGTTGGCCCTGCGGCCAGCCTTACCTTTCGGGAGATACCGGTGGCTCCTCTGAGGGCTGTGCTGGACATTGCTACCAATGCCTTCCTGCTGTCCCGCTTCCTCTTCCAGCAGCCTGGCCCTCGACGGCACTCTCCCTCCTGGGCCCTGGGCTGGGGGAGAGGGTAGGGTTTCACCCCTCCCCCTGGCAGCTGGTGGCCAGGGTCCTTGTGTATTTTAAGCTGTTGAGTGGTTCAGCAGGAACTCGAGGCTCCTATCCCAGCGGGAGGCTGGTGGTGCTGGCCTGTGGGTCACATGGACTCTGAAAATGTGTGGTACTGCCTGCCTGGGCCCAGGACCTATTAATAGACCTGCACCCCCCACCCTGGCGTCCAGTGCCTGCCCAGGGCCCTGCTGTGCTAGCCCTGCCCAGTTCATTCCACTACACCTTGGCTCTTACTGGTTAGCCCCCTTGCTCGAGCCTGCTGCTCCCCTCCACGTGCCCACTGTCTGCCCAGCCCTTATTGTTCCTGATGAGTGGGGAGTGGTAGGTGGTGTCTCCGAGGGTATCCTGGGGGGCCCTGTTCCTGCACTTCACCCGTCTCCCTCATGCCTCACGCTCTGGCAAGGGACCCAGTGGCCTGTGGGGGGACCACAACGTGATCCCGGGCCCATGCTTCACTTTATCCTGACAGGTCTCTCCCGGGCCAGGCCCCTCCCTCTGGTGGGGGTATGTGTGTGCAGGCGTGTGAGTCTGTGTCTGTGCACGCGTGTGTGTGCGCGCACATGGAGGGAGGGTGGGAAGGGAGTGCAACCCCTTCCATCAGCATGGGTGAGCTCTTGGTATAGTGCCCTATGGTTACCACAGAGTTTGGGTCTCAGAGCTGAGTAGTTGGCCCCTTGTTCCCATGCTGTATCTGACTAAGGGTCCACCAGGGGTTCTGTGGGTAGGAACGGTCACCATCAACTACTGGACAGTGGCTGATTGGGGAGCATACCTGGGCCTTGTCTGCATGGCCCATCGCTATCGGGGCCCCTGCTGTAGTGCCCAGGCCTTAGGGACCTGTTCTGATGCAGACCAGGCTCCAGGTGGCCTGAAAGAGGCAGACAGCCTAAGACTGCGAGCTGTGGGCTTCAGGAGGGTTCTGGTCTGTGGGTGGCTGTGATGCTGGGCTGACGGGCCATGCATGCGTTGACCTGGTGAGAAATGGGTGAAGTGGGTGGTAGGGCAGGGCCTGGTGCCTGCTGTGCAGGGGTTGAGGCCTCGGTTGCCCAGTGCTCCCTGCTTACTGACCCCTTTCATGCTTAGTTAGAGCTTTCTGCACCAATAACTCTGGAATCTGTCACCTCCCTGGGAACACAAATGCACAAGGAAAGTAATCCGCAGTAGCTCTTACAGCTCAGGAGGGGAAACGGATGATGTATCTCACGGATTTTCAAAATAGCTGGGCTTTCTCCAGGCCCAGTGTATTCCTGCTGGCCCTGGTGGTCCCCCGTGCTTGCCTTGGGGCTCTCTGGGCCTTGGTCTGTTGGGAGGCCATAACCACTAGGATGCTTCTCTCTGGGGTTCTCAGTGCCTAAGAGAGCCCCCCAGAGGAGGTCTGTGGCTGAGCCCCCGGGCTTGTTTTATATTTAGCTGGGCCGGGGCTCTGGTGCCACTCGGGTTACATCTGGCAGAGAAGGCAGCCGTTCAGGGCAGGCATGGGCTCCCTTCCAGCACCGCGGCAGAATTTGATCAGCCATTCGGCCCCAAGCCGCTTCCAGTGGGGAGGTCTGTTGTGGGGGTTGACCGGCGGCAGCTAGGCCACTGGCTGCAGCAGGCGTGGAGTGGAGCGGGCAGGGTTGGTGCCAGTGCCGAGGGTGGCATGGACATGAACTTGGTGACCCGAGAGGCAAGCCAGGGCCTTGTCCCAGGCCTCAACAGCCTCCCCGGGCCCATACCCCCCAAGACAACCAAAAAACATAAAAAAGCTGTTCTCTTCTTCGAGGTGGAGATTCTGGACGCGAAGACGCGGGAGAAGTTGTGCTTCCTGGACAAGGTAGGACTGTGGCTCCCTGCCTGCTGGGGTCCCTTTCCTCTTGTGGTTCAAGTGAATCTAGGAGTGTCCAGCCGGGCCCTTATGTGCCCCCGACACGCAGGGCACATGGGTGCTGGCCCTTGCCAGCAGGCCGTTCCTAGTAGTGGCAGCTCCTTGTCTCAGGTGGACATGTGTCCTGGCTATTAGGGGCAGCGAGCAGCCATGGTGGGTCCTTGGATCTGACCGAGAGCGTCACTGGGGGAGTGGTGGGTGGGGCGGAGAGGAGAGGACAGAGACGAGGTCGAGAGAAGCAGGCCCAGCTTCTCTCAGCTGGGCCCGCAGTGTCCTAGCCAGGGTGACTGCAGCCCCTAGATTCAGTGCCATCCCCACTCTTTGGCACGTCCCTTGGCGGCTCCCGTCGCAGCCAAGGAGCTACGCTGTGTCTGTCCTGACCATGACCACACGGACAGAGGCCTGCCGCACCCCCAAAACCATAGTCCCAGGCCTCTGCCCAATAGTCCCTGACCAGGAGGCCTCCTGGCTGAGAGCCCTTTGACCTGTGCTCCCCCCAGGTGGAACCCCATGCCACCATTGCTGAGATCAAGAACCTTTTCACCAAGAACCGTAAGTCATCCTGCTCGAGCACCCCCGGCAGGCCCAGAGCTGCCCCTCCCCTGAGCACCACCCAGGCCTCTCTAGGCTCAATGGGGGCAGGCGCTCTGTGTGGCATCAGCAGGGATGTCTTTGCTGGGCACCTGGGAGGATGGGATTTTGCTGCCCATGTTGTTCGGGCTTGTTTCTTGAGACCACAAAAGCCTCAGCCTTGCCCAGGGCTGGTGTGTGGGGCGTTGGAGCTGTGGGCCCCCAGCCTCAGGATCCATGAGTAGTTTTGGGGTTAGCACACCATGGAAGGCACGGGAAGGTGGGCAAAGCTGGCTACGTTGGCACGGTGACTGGCATGTGCTCTCCCCACAGATCCGCAGTGGTACCCTACCCGGCAGTCCCTCCGCCTGGAACCCAGTGAGTAGGGCTGCCCCCTCTGCCACACCTGGATGGGGGTGGGGTGAAGAGCTGGGCAGCCCTGAGCCACCTGCTTCTCGGCAGAGGGTAAGTCCCTGAAGGATGAGGATGTGCTGCAGAAGCTGCCTGTGGGCACCACGGCCACACTGTACTTCCGGGACCTCGGGGCGCAGATCAGCTGGGTGACGGTGAGTCCGGCCCACCCACAGCCCCCCCTCTCTCAGCCACTTCCTGGTGACTTAACCTCAACCCCCACCCACCACAGGTGTTTCTGACGGAGTACGCAGGACCCCTTTTCATATATCTGCTCTTCTACTTCCGGGTGCCCTTCATCTATGGCCACAAATATGACTTCACGTCCAGTCGGCACACAGTGGTGCAGTGAGTGGAGGGGTGTGGGCTGGCTGTGGGGGCGGGCTGGTGCCGAGCCCTGCTGAACCTGCTGCCCCCACAGCCTCGCCTGTATCTGCCACTCATTCCACTATGTCAAGCGCCTGCTGGAGACACTTTTTGTGCACCGCTTCTCCCACGGCACCATGCCCCTGCGCAACATCTTCAAGGTGAGCACCCAGTCTCAGCCGTGGGTCCCCCTCCCCTGGAGGCCCCAGTCCCCACCCCCTCCTGCTTGATGTCTTTCAGAACTGCACATACTACTGGGGTTTTGCTGCTTGGATGGCCTATTACATCAACCACCCTCTCTATACTCCCCCCAGTAAGTGGCCTTAGCCCCCCTGGCCCCACACCCTTCTCAGACTGGCCCCCCTCACAGCCTCTCTTCTCTCATCCACTGCAGCCTACGGAGCTCAGCAGGTGAAACTGGCGCTCGCCATCTTTGTGGTAAGGGGCTGTGGTGGGGGGAAGCGGGGAGGCCCGGGGCCTGAGGGTCGGGTGGTGGCGCTCTGAGCTTGAGTCTACCCTTCCTACAGATCTGCCAGCTAGGCAACTTCTCCATCCACATGGCTCTGCGCAACCTGCGGCCGGCAGGTAAGTATTGTCCTGGGTAGACAGGTTGGGGCTGGGGAGCCGGATGTCTGGCTCACCCCTCCTGGTCCTTCCTGCCAGGGTCCAAGGCGAGGAAGATCCCGTTCCCCACCAAGAACCCCTTCACTTGGCTCTTCCTGTTGGTGTCCTGCCCCAATTACACCTACGAGGTGAGGCTTTCCCGTCCCCTGTGTGCAGATGTCCAGTCCCAGCAGTGGTGCCTAGATGGGGCGTCTCGAGCTACATGCAACACTAGCTGCGTGTTTGTGGAGCACACAGGAACCTGTTCTCCGCCCTCCCCCACCCCGCACCAGCCTTGCCCACACTCACCCTCCTTGCTCGCTCCACCACAGGTTGGCTCCTGGATCGGCTTCACCATCATGACACAGTGTCTCCCAGGTAAGCCACAGCTCCTCCCCACAGCACCTGCCCTCCCGCCCCCACCCAGCTCCCTGACACCCCTGCTCTGCCCCGCAGTGGCTCTCTTCTCCTTGGTGGGCTTCACCCAGATGACCATCTGGGCCAAGGGCAAGCACCGAAGCTACCTGAAAGAGTTCCGAGACTACCCACCCCTGCGCTCGCCCATCGTCCCCTTCCTGCTCTGAGCTGCTGCCCCGGCTGCCCACCAGCTCGCCCTGGGCCACGGCCCCATGCTTGGCCCAAGCCAGGCTCTCATCCCCCTACCCCACTGTTATTCTGGGGAAGGGTTAGGGAATCACCGCTTTCCAGCACTTGGAATAAAACCTGCCTGCCAGCTGGACTCAGGCTCAGCGTGTTTCATTGTGGGGCTGGGGAACTGAGGCTACCAGCTACCACACTGTCTTTAACCACTTACCCACCCACCCCAGTCAGAGGCAAGGCTAGGGGTGAGGATCTGGAGGCTTTTATTGGTTTGCCTGGTCATAGGTGACAGCAGGTTCCTACAGGGCCACCTCGGGTGCCACCTCACCAGGCCCCTGACCCCTGGCCATGTCAGCCTCCCTCTTTTCTCGTCGCTTTTTCCGCTGGAGCAGCCGCCGCTCCCGCTCATACTCCTTCATGCGGTTCACGTAGCTGTGGGCAGAGAAGGGCTGTCAGCCTCCCTGACCCCGGGAAGTGGATGGGACAGAAACAGGGGCCCCAGAACTGTGGTGAGACTCAGCTTCAATGCCTGAGCTCTGCTTGCAGGCTGAATGGCCTCCCCTGGACACCAGTGAGCCTCTATCTGGAGGAGGGGCTTTCCTGCCAGGCAGGCCTCCACCTGCATGGCTCAGGACTGGCTAGAGATGGGGGAGTGCATCCTCAGTCTTGGAGCTGCAGGTCTGGGGTGGTGCAGGGGCTCTCTCGAGATGCTCGTGGGTCTGGGGGCTCACTCGAGATGCTCGTGAGTTTGAGGGGTACAGGGGGCTCACTCAAGATGCTCTGCGGGTTTGGGGGAATGCAGGGGGCTCTTGAGATGCTTGCGGGTCTGGGGATGTGCGGACGGCTCACTCGAGATGCTCGCAGATCTGGGAGAGTGTGGGGGGCTCACTCGAGATGTTCGCGGGTCTTGGCGTGTATGGGGGGCTCACTCGAGATGCTCATGGGTCTGGGGGAGTGCGGGGGGCTCACTCAAGATGCTCGCGGGTTTGGGGGGTGCGGGGGGCTCACTCGAGATGCTCGCGGGTCTGGGGGGTGCGGGGGCTCACTGGAGGTGCTCGCGGGTTTGGGGGGTGCGGGGGGCTCTCTCGAGATGCTCGTGGGTTTGGGGGGTGCGAGGGCTCTCTCGAGATGCTCGTGGGTTTGGGGGGTGCGGGGGGCTCACTCGAGATGCTCGCAGTAGTCCCAGTCGTGCTGCTCGTGCTTGCAGGCCAGGATGTTGGGGAAGCTGTCTCGTTTGCACTTGAGCAGCCGGATGAGGTAATGCGCGCAGTAGTCCCGTTGCTGCAGCACCAGCTGGGCGTCGCTCATCTGCTGCTGTGTGGCCACCATCTCTGTGGGGAGGCAATGGGTGGGCTCAGCAGGTGCCTCCAACTCCATGTCCTGGGGGCATCACCCACTGACGTTCTGGCAACAGATGGTAGTGAGCCAAGGTCAGGCTCTGACAGATGTAGGTGTTGGGAGGAAGAAGTCTTTTCCGAATTGAATAAGAGACAACTCATGCAGGGGAAGGGCCCAGGTGCACCCTGGCCTCCCCTCCCCCGCTTCCCCAGGAATGCCCGCCCTTTAGGAACAGAGTCTGGAACCCCACTTTCCTACCCGGCCTCTGCTTCCCTATAATCCCTTCCATGACCCCTCTGTAGGACATGCATTAGTGTGTGAGGCCACGTGGGGCCAAATGACTCCCAGCTCTACATGGGCCAAATGTGTGGTCTATCCCTCGGCCTTGGCTTCCTTACCTGTGTAATGAGCCAAAAGTCAGCTCTTTAGTTCCCATGGTGGTAACTGAATTTATGCTGCCCCACCAACTCAGAAAGCCCCACCCAGGACAAAACCATCTGCTAAAAGCCATGTCTCAAGCTAAAAGATCTGAAGGAAAAATTCAAGCCTCGATTTGCAATGTTGAAGGATACAACAGGCAACATATTGAAAGATTCAGAAAGCATCAAAAGTAGATGGAAGGGATACACACAGTCACTGTAGCAAAAAGAAATGGTCAATGCTCAACCTTTTCAAGAGGTAGCACATGAGCAAAAGCCATTGGTACTGAAGGAAGAAGTTCAAAGGGCACTGAAGATATTGGCAAAGAACAAGGCTCCAGGAATTGATGGAATACAAATTGAAATCTTGTAACACACTGATACTGCACTGGAGGCAGTCACTCATCTAGGCCAAGAAATGTGGAGGACAGCTGCCTGGCCAACTGATAAGAGATTATTTGGGCCCATTTCAAAGAGAGGTGATCCAATGGAAAGTAGAAATCATCAAACAATATCAATATCACATGCAAATAGTATTTTGCCAAAGATAATTAAAAAACGATTTCAACAGTGCATTGACAGGGAACTAACTGCCAGAGGGTCAAGCTGGAATTAGACAAGGATGTGAAACAAGGGTATATCATTGCTGATGTCAGATGGATCTTGGCTAACAGCAGAAAATACCAGAAAGATGTTTGTTGTTGTTAAGTGCATTGTAGTCAATTCTGACTAACAACATGAAGAATGCATGTGAAGCCAAGGGACCAGCAGAGCCCCTAAAGTGTGAGGGAGTGTGAGGGAACTGGAGAGATTGTGCCCTGAGATACCCCAGTATTTCTAAGGGGAGGATCAGTGAAGGTAGGTGGAGAATCAAAGGAGCCTGGGGTCTTGGGAGCCCTGAGGAGGAGCTCCTGGGAGGTAGAGGAGATGAACACTAAGAAGATAAAAATGGGGGCAGCCATTGAAAGGTTTTCTTGATGCCCCCCATTTACACTTGCCTGCATCCATTGTGCACCCCACTTACTGTGCGTTCATTGAAGGCAGAGACGAAGCCCGCTCTTGGGATATGGTGTAGCTCAGTGTGATACTATTACATAAAAATTAACAACCTGCAGAACACTTAAGTGCTGCTGCCCCCTGCCCGCCCCCCACCATGTATGTAACTCAAAGCTGCCGTGAAATGCTGGTGAGAAAGGGGGCAGTCACTGGAGGTAGGGCCAGAAGGGCATTTAAAAAAAATCAAAATAGCTTGACTCCCCATGTTGATGGGGAAAACCCCTACTGCAAGGAAGACTAGAATGGATGGAGCAGCATTCCTGGTGTAGATTTGGGGCTCAAAGAGTAGGGGTTTAGCTCTAGCAGGGGCAGCTGGTCCGAGCACCAGGAAGGAAAGCAGTGTCTGAGGGTGAGCAAGAAGACAGGTGCAGAGAGCCCATGAGAACGCTTAACTAAAAAGGATGAAAGCAAAGTCAAGGGCTGAGAAAGGCTGGGATCTGAGGAGAAGCGGGACAGACATCTAGGGTGGTGGGAGGGAGGATCAAGGACTAACCAGTGTGATACGAGGGTCGGGCAGCAAGACCAAAGCGGTGGAATGTTTTACACCCATCGTGGTCAGCTAACAGGGCAGATGCCAAGAAGGAGATGCCAATTCGGGTTGTGGGTGTTTGCAAAGCCAGGTGTGATGGGTGGTGGGAGGTGGTGGTTGGCCAAGATTTGAGAGGAATGACTATACCCCATCCCAAGACTCTTTCCAACCCACTAGATTCTGCACACCCACCACACTTAAAGAGGTCTCCTCGCCCCCGTGATTTTCCATCCAGAGGCGAGCACCATTTTGGGCAAAGCAAATCTGGCCTTGTCGCTCACCTGCTGAGAGGCATTGGCTCTGCCCTCTTCGCCTAGTCAACTCCTATTGGACCCCTTCCTGTCTCCATTTCCATCAGCTCCCGGTAGCCTCCCTGCAAACTGTCCGCGCCGCTAAGCTCCCTGAGGACGGAGCCCGCTGTCTCTGCGCGGCCTAGCTCTGAATTTGGTCCAATGTTGGCGCTCGATGTGATATTTTATTACATAAAAAAGCAAAGGTGCAGAACAACGTGTGGCTAGGCCCTCCCTTATGTATACATCCCTTTTGGGATAACCCTTAATGTCTTTTGCTCCCCCCAAATCACAACTCTCTTTCGTCCCCGGGCTTTTGCTTAAGTCGTGTCCTCTGCCTGGCATTCCCAACTCAAGCAGGGACAGTGCCACCTCTAGGCTCCTCCAGGTCGAAGCCAAGACCGAGCTCACGGAGAAGCGCCTGGGGCGCCAGCCCAGCTCCGAACATCCCAAGGTTCTGGGGGTCCCAGCGCGCACGCCCCACGCCCGCCGGCCGCGCCTGCGCACTGGGCCTCACCGCGCTTCTTGCGCCCCGGGAAGCCGTAGTCCGGTGGGAAGGTGGGCATCCGCAGGGGGTCGGGCTCCCCTGAGTTATCGCCCACGTATCGCCGGGCCAAATGCGCCCCCATGGTTGCTGCTGCCGCAGTTACCGCTGCAGCGGAGGTCACCTCACTCCCTCCCGGAAACACTGCTCCGCCAACACGGCTTCCGGGTTGCGCAGGCGGCCTGAGGGGACCATAGAGATGAACAGCTTCAAAGGACTTTCTCTCCGGCCTGCGACACCTGGCGGCCGGCTGAGGGCAGGACAGGTGCGGCGCGCCCCCTCGCGGAGATCTGGCAGTTGCGACCAAACCTGGGCGGCTCTAAATTGGGCGCTCTGATATCCTGCGCCTAGAGTACAAATGAAAATCATCTTTTTTTTTTTTTTTCGAAGAAATTAACTTTTATTTGAAAGGAAACTACTTTTCTCCACACATATCTTCTAAGTACTACAGTAACCATTATCCCAATACCAAAATTTCTAACAGCAAATTATACAACTGCTCTAGTTAATAAATAAGGGCTGTCCTTCACTGATTAAGGGAATATTTAAAGTTCAATAAGTTTAACACACACACACACA